GGAACTCAGCAGCGGTTTGTAACTGGGGGAGGCGTGCAGTCTGAATGTGTATGACCCGACCCCGTCCCCCACTCCCTCCCCGCCTAGCAGGAGGGCTTGGCACTCTCTCTGTGCATCGGTGTGATGACTGAGGGGTTGACCAAGCAGTGACCATCCAAGGAGGTTCCCTGAGTAGGCTGCACTCCTGAGGAGATTCTGTGCACGATATTTTAAAATTCTGCACGTTTTATTTGTCAGTAAATACATGTGGAGGCTCCAGCTCGGCAGTGAGGAGCATAGGCTGCTGGATGAAAGGAGGTGGGAGATCACCCTGCAGTCCCCTCTCCCCTCCTGGGAAACAGACTTCGTGGCAAGGCTGCACCCCTCTGCTGCCTACACCAGGAGCCCAAACCGACTCCCCCAGAACTGCTGAGGTGAGAGCCTTTGTTTTCATCAGAAACATTTTTGAGGGAAGCAAAGAAATCTACGGGGGACATGATTGGTGGAGTGGGAGAATCCCCGGAGTAATTGAATTGAGGTGGTGTATGAATAGTTAAAATTTTTAGAAAAATTAAAGAATGAAGGCTCCTGGGTATTGTTAGTAAAAGTCATGGACAGGTCATGGCCCCCGACCTATACCATAAATACCCTGATTGAATCTTGGGGGGGGGAATGTCGGGGGCCCACAGCACCAGGTGCGGGGATGGGAAGCTCCAGGGGGTCCACTGTGCTGCTGGGGAGGGGGGAGCCCCTGTCACTCTGGCCACTGCTGGGGGGCCCTCTGCCACTCTGGCTGCCCTGGGACAGCTGCCGGGAGCCACGGGGCTCTGGCTGGGGAGAGCCGCATTGGCCACTGCTCAGGCCATCCCCAGAGCCAGCCGCCCGGGGCCGTCCCAGCAGCGGCCGGTGTGGCTGCCCCCCAGGGCCTCCTGAGCAGCTGGCTCCGGGTGATTTAAAAGGGCCCAGGGGCCCCTGCCGCCACTCCCGGGGCTAACGTGGCTTCCTGCCCACCCTTGCTCCAGGCGGAGCGCCCCTCCCAGAAGCGTCTGGCACATCCCTGCAGCCCCTGGGGGGGGGGGTGTCTCTGGCACACTTCCCCTGTGCCGAGCACCAATTCTGCCACTGTAAAGCTGCGGCCAATGGGAGCTGCAGGGGTGGGGCCTGTGGGTGCCCGGAGACCCTCCGCCCCCCCCTCCCCGGCCACTTTGGAGCTGCTGCCAGATGGGGGTGCAGGTCACTTTCAGGAGCCACCCAAGATAAGTGCCACACCCCAGCCCTCTGCCCCAGCCCAGATCCCTCACCCCACCCACACCCAAACTCCCTCCCAGAGCCTGCCAAGTCCCCTACAGCCCCCCAACCCCCTGCCCCAGCCCAGCCCACAACCCCTCCCAGAGCCCACCCCCCTCCTGCACCCAAACTCCTCCCAGAGCCTGCCATGTCCCCCCCGCCCCCTGCCCCAGCCCAGGCCCCAACCCCTCCCAGACCCACCCCCTCCTGCACCCAAACTCCCTCCCAGAGCCTCCCAGTGTCCCCCCTGCCCCCCAAGCCCTGCCCCAGCCCACCCACAACTCCCTCCCAGACCCACCCCCCCTGCACCCAAACTCCCTCCCAGAGCCTGCCAGTTCCCCCCTACCCCCCAATGCCCTGCCCCAGCCCAACCCACAACTCCCTCCCAGAGCCCACCCCCCTCCTCACCCAAACTCCCTCCCAGAGCCTGCCATGTCCCCCCTGCCCCCCACCCCAGCCCAGAGCCCACAACTCCCTCCCAGAGCCCACCCCCTCCTGGATCCAAACCCCTCCCAGAGCCTGCCAGTGTCCCCCCCCCCCCAACCCCCTGCCCCAGCCCAACCCACAACTCCCTCCCAGACCCACCCCCTCCTGCACCCAAACTCCCTCCCAGAGCCTCCATGTCCCCCCTACCCCCCAATGCCCTGCCCCAGCCCAGACCCACAACTCCCTCCCAGAGCCCACCCCCCTCCTGGATCCAAACTCCCTCCCAGAGCCTGCCAGTGTCCCCCCCTGCCCCCCAACCCCCTGCCCCAGCCCAGAGCCCACAACTCCCTCCCAGAGCCCACCCCCCTCCTGCACCCAAACTCCCTCCCAGAGCCTGCCAGTGTCCCCCCCTGCCCCCCAATGCCCTGCCCCAGCCCAGAGCCCACAACTCCCTCCCCAGAGCCCACCCCCCTCCTGCACCCAAACTCCCTCCCAGAGCCTGCCAGTGTCCCCCCTGCCCCCCAATGCCCTGCCCCAGCCCAGACCCCACAACTCCCTCCCAGACCACCCCCCTCCTGGATCCAAACCCCTCCCAGAGCATCCCCCCCCCCCCCAACCCCGCCCCAGCCCACCCACACCCCTCCCAGCCCCCCCCCCTCACCCAAACTCCCTCCCAGACTATCCCCCCTACCCCCAACCCTCCCCACCCACCCACAACCCCTCCCAGACCCACCCCCCTCCTGCACCCAAACTCCCTCCCAGAGCCTGCCAGTGTCCCCCCCTGCCCCCCAATGCCCTGCCCCAGCCCAGAGCCCACAACTCCCTCCCAGAGCCCACCCCCCTCCTGCACCCAAACTCCCTCCCAGAGCCTGCCAGTGTCCCCCCCTGCCCCCCAAGCCCTGCCCCAGCCCAGAGCCCACAACTCCCTCCCAGAGCCCACCCCCCTCCTGCACCCAAACTCCCTCCCAGAGCCTGCCAGTGTCCCCCCTGCCCCCAACCCCTGCCCCAGCCCAGAGCCACAACTCCCTCCCAGAGCCCACCCCCTGCACCCAAACTCCCTCCCAGAGCCTGCCAGTGTCCCCCCCCCCCCAACCCCTGCCCCAGCCCAGAGCCCACAACTCCCTCCCAGACCCACCCCCCTCCTGCACCCAAACTCCCTCCCAGAGCCTGCCAGTGTCCCCCCGCCCCCAACCCCCTGCCCCAGCCCAGACCCCCAACTCCCTCCCAGACCCCACCCCCCCTCCTGGATCCAAACTCCCTCCCAGAGCCTGCCAATGTCCCCCCTGCCCCCAACCCCCTGCCCCAGCCCAGAGCCCACAACTCCCTCCCAGAGCCCACCCCCCTCCTGGATCCAAACTCCCTCCCAGAGCCTGCCAGTGTCCCCCCTGCCCCCAACCCCCTGCCCCAGCCCAGAGCCCACAACTCCCTCCCAGAGCCCACCCCCCCCTGCACCCAAACTCCCTCCCAGAGCCTGCCAGTGTCCCCCCCCCCCAATGCCCTGCCCCAGCCCAGAGCCCACAACTCCCTCCCAGAGCCCACCCCCCTCCTGCACCCAAACTCCCTCCCAGAGCCTGCCAGTGTCCCCCCGCCCCCAACGGCCTGCCCCAGCCCAGACCCCACAACTCCCTCCCAGAGCCCCACCCCCCCTCCTGCACCCAAACTCCCTCCCAGAGCCTGCCAATGTCCCCTCCAGCCCCCCAACCCCTGCCCCAGCCCAGAGCCCACAACTCCCTCCCAGAGCCCACCCCCCTCCTGCACCCAAACTCCCTCCCAGAGCCTGCCAGTGTCCCCCCCCCCCGCCCCCAACCCCCTGCCCCAGCCCAGAGCCCACAACTCCCTCCCAGAGCCCACCCCCCTCCTGGATCCAAACTCCCTCCCAGAGCCTGCCAGTGTCCCCCCGCCCCAACGGCCTGCCCCAGCCCAGAGCCCACAACTCCCTCCCAGAGCCCACCCCCCCTCCTGCACCCAAACTCCCTCCCAGAGCCTTAGGCGGAGCTGTGGGGGTGCGGGAGGGAAGGGGAGGGAGAGGGGAGGAACGGGGCAGGACTTGGACCTGTTCTGGGCAGCACCAAAACTTATATAAACCTGGCCCCCCTGAGACAGAGCCAGTCCGTGCAGAGCTCTCCCCTGACAGGAGGGGACTCTGGGGGAGAGGGTGGCTGCTGGGGCTTTATTCCTGCCGTTCAGGGCCGGGGAAGGGTCACGCAGGGAGAGGAGGAATAAAGGGAGGCTGAACGCTGTCGGCAATAAAAGCCCAGCTAGCAGAGGATGGTTTCGATCCATCGACCTCTGGGTTATGGGCCCAGCACGCTTCCGCTGCGCCACTCTGCTGCCCCGGGAGCTCCCCACAGCGGGGCAGGGGAGAGCTGTGGCCAGGGGATTTAGGCGCTTTCCAGGAAGGGGCTTGTACACGGTGCCCAGGCTCCAAAGCTGAACTCAGAGGAGATCTCTGCATATCCCCAGCTGGGAAAACCAGCCCCCTTCCCCTTGCTTTTCTCCTGAGACGATCCAGCCGGTCTCCTGCCCCCCCAGGCTGTGTGTGTTTGGGGGGGGGGGTTCCCCGATCCCCGAGTGTCCCAAACGCCCTGCGAGGGGCCCGCTGGGGCAGGGCCAGGCCCGGGGAGGAGCCGCCCCTTCCTGCCCCCCCAGCCCGGGGAGCCTTTGTGTGTTTGCAGCGGGGCCATGGCCGGGGCCGGGAGCGCAGCGCGGAGGCTGCTACAGGTCGGCGGTCCGCGGGGCAGCGCGGTGGGGCCGCGGGGCAGGGCCCGGGTGGGCGGCAGGGGCCGGGGACACGCGGGGGGCGGACGCGCTCCTGCCGCGGGGGGCGAGTGTCCCGGGCCGGAGCCACGGAGCCCAGGGGGGGGGTCAGAGCCGGAGCTGGGGGGGGGGGGGGAGCGGCTGGTGCTGGGGATTCTTGGAGCTGGGAGTTTGGGGCGAGTCGATTTACGGGGGTGGGGGGGCTCAGAGCTGGCGATTGGGGGGATGTTTGCGGGGAGGGCTCCATGTTCAGATCTGGCCCTGCGGGAGCATTGGGGGTTGGAGCTGGGACTGTCTGAAGTTGGCTGCTTGGGATGTGAGCGAGGTCCCCCCCCCCCCCGGGGGACGTGGGGCGCTGGGGGTCGGGCTGCACCCAGCCGGGGGCCCTGCGTTTCCTCGGGAAAAGCTGGTCCCTGTTTCACCGTCTCCTCTCAGTCTGAGCCCCCCCCCCCCCCCCCCCGACTCTGTACAGGAGTCTGCAGGGCAGGAGGGGGCCCTGAAATCTGACAGCCGTTTGTAGCAGTTTCCTCTCCTCTCCCCCCATCTTCCAGGAGCCCCCCCGAGAGCGTCGGGCCCCTCCGGGCAAAGAGAGAGAAGCCGCCGAAGCCGAGGAGCAGCGGCAAAGCCAGGAGCTGCTGGTAGGTGCCCAGGGCCCAGGTTCGCCAGGGATCCCGGTGCCCCGAGTGACGGCGAATGCAGGGCCCAGCCTGCCAGCCTCATCCAGGGACCCGTCCCCACCGGAGGGTCCGACACGGGGGTGGCATGGTGCCCGTAGGGTGCGGGAGGCTGCTGGGCAGGAGCGGGTCAGTCTGTGTGAGCCCAGGGCCCCTGCCCACGGGCTGTCTGCGTGTCACAGTGACCAGGGAGCCTTTCCCGCACCTGGGGGGAATGGGGAGGAAATGCGGGCTGCAGAGATGGAGGATTTGGCTCGGTGCAAGTTGATGAGGTTCTGGGGGGAAGTGTCCCTCCTGTTGGTGATGTACAGCTCACCCCGGCCCTTATCCCTCCTCTCTTCCTGGGATAAACGAACTTCCCACCCTCCACCGCAAGAGATCTTGTGTTCTGGTAAATAACTCTGTCACCCATCCCGAGGTGCATTTATGATTCTCCCCAGTTACCGAGCAGATGAATGTCAGTGCGGATTAATGCAAAGTAACGCACATTGGAAAAAGTCATATCAATTATGCACAGAAAATGACGGGGTCTAAATTAGCTGTTGCCACTCAAGAAAGAGATCTTGGCATCACGGTGGACAGTTCTCTGGAAACATCCATTCAAGGTGCAGCGTCGGTCAAAAAAGCAAACAGACCATTGGGAATCGTGAAGAAAGGGAGAGATAATAAGACAGAAAACATCCGATTGCCTCTCTATAAATCCATGGTCTCCTGCCAACAAAAAACTTCCACCCCACATAAGCGGCAGCTGTCGGTGGGAGAGCGCTCCTGCCGACAACGTGCTGTTCACCCCCGCACTTTTCGTGGGTCAAAATTTGTCACTGAGGTGTGTGTTTTTTAACACCCTGAATGACAAGTTGTGCCAACGAAGTACTGTGGTAGACAAAGCCTGAGGCTGTTCAGCTTGGAAAAGAGACAGCTAAGTGGGGGGGATAGGATAGAGGTCTATAAAATCATGACTGGTGTGGCAAAAGTAAAGAAGGACGTGTTATTTACTCCTTCCTATAACACACGCATTAGGGGTCACCCCGTGAAATGAATAGGCAGCAGGTTTAAAACAAACGAGAGGAAGTATTTTTTCACACACTGCACAGTCAACCTGTGGAACTCCTTGCCAGAGGATGTTGAAGGCCAGGACAATAACAGGGTTCAAAAAAGAGCTAAATAAGTTCATGGAGGATAGGTCCATCAGTGGCTATTAGCCAGGATGGGCAGGGATGGTGTCCCTAGCTTCTGTTTGCCAGAAGCTGGAAATGGGTGACAGGGGATGGATCACTTGATGATGACCTGTTCTGTTCATTTTTCTTGGGCACCTGGCCTTGGCCACTGTGGAAGACAGGACACTGGGCTAGATGGTCCTTTGGTCTGACCCAGTATGTCCGGTCTTATGTTCTGTGTTCCCCTGTTACTGAGCCGCCCTCTCCCTGTTGCAGAGCCAGATGGCAGCCGAGAGGCAGAAGATGGTCTGGGAGTGGCAGGAGCTGCGAGGGTTTCTGGCAGAGCAGGAGCAGCGGCTGCTGTCCCGGCTGGAAGAGCTAGAGAGAGCCATTGTCCAGAGTAGGGATGCGGGCGTCTGCCGCCTGTCCCAGGAGATTTCCCTGCTCAGGGAGCAGGGAGGAGAGAAGGGGCAGCCCCCGCTGAGCCCACCCCTGCAGGTCAGGCTGTCGTTGCAATGATCACACGCAGCGTTCCTATAGGAGCGTCTCCGCCCCAGACCCCAAAGCACTTTACAAAGGGGAGTCGGGGCAATTATCCCTATGGGACAAAGGGGGAAACTGAGGCACAGGGAGGGACAGAGCCCTGGACAAGGTCACAAAGTGAGTCTGGCAGCGGCGCCAGGGATGGGTCCTGGGAGTCCTGGATGCTGCAGCCCCAAAGTCTTCTCTCCTGGAAATGTCTGTCTGCATTTTCACTTGGAGGATGAAATCCCCTCACGCACCATGCTGAACCCCAGGCCTAAGGCCCCACTCACAGCAGGTTAATGGGTTCAGTGGGGCCAGGGGCCTTCTGGGTCTCTCAGCACTGGAGGAATTGGGTTCTCAATGCAGAGAAATATCTTCTGCCTGTAAAGTGCCTGGGGAGAAGGTTTCCTCAGTGGCTACCTGCCAGCAATAGGGGAAAGTCCCTGGTAGGGGGTGGCAGCTGCTCTGGGAATGTCAACCTGAAATTCCCCTCGTACCCGAGGCTTCAGTGGTGACTCCCCTGCAGAGCAGGAGGCCTCCCCACCCAGGGACATGCCCCCTGACTGCCTCCTCTTTCTCTCCCTCTTTAGGGTGCTGGGAGCACTGGGGGCAGGTAAGTCCTGGGCTCCACTTTGCTCCCCGTCATGGGCCGTTAGGGTTGATAACTGCACTGAATAGGAAGCTGCCCCCTGCCCTTGGAGCATGTGATTCTGCCTCCCCCAGTGGCTGACTCAGGGAGGAGAAGAGCCGTTCAGGGTCTGATCGCTCAGGAGGTCACAGCAGGGCTGCTAGACACAGGGCCGATGGGCCCGACCTGGCCTGTCTCCCGGCCGCATCCCGTGTTCTGAGGGCGCAGAAACTCAGCTTTTGAATTTTTTAAAGTGAATTGCTGGCCCCCCGCATCTCCGCAGGGTAAAGGGAGACAGCGTTGCCTTGCTGGGGCTGCCCGAAGCCGTAGCTCAGAGAGCGTCAACTCTCCTGTCCCCTGTTAATGTCATCGGGGTGTCAACTGAAGGGAGGACGCTTTGATGTCAACATTCAGCGTTCCCTGGCTGATCACCTGAGCAGGTGGAAAGGGGAAGGGGAGGGAGTGAAGCCTTCGTGGGGTGGAAATTGGTGGTTGCTGTAGGGAGGGAAGAACAGAGGAGAGACACAAGGACAAGGAAGCAAGAGGGAAATGGAGAAAGGAGGGGAAGAACTATCGGGGGCCCTACAGGGGAGTCCAGGAGGGGGTCTGTTTTCCTCCTGAGTGACACTGAGTGTGACAGACAAAGACTTAGCAAAATACTAAGAATTCAAATTGTATTTCCTATATGAAGGGCAGATTCTCACCTTGTCCTTTGCACGGGGGTGTCCCATGGAGAGCAGTGGGTGTTCTGCTGTGAATGGAGCAGGGCACAGAGTCCTAAACTGACGCCCTGGCCCACTGACCATAACGGACAGGGCAATATGACCCTCTCTGCCAAATGAGCTGGATGCCCCAGGGTTACTGCTTCAACTGAAGGGCTTGGGGGGGTTGGCATTAAAGGGCCCAGGTTCACTCCCTGGTGGAGACCGGAGCTCTGTCTGTGGCCACTGTCAGCATGTAGGACCTGCCCAGGCTTTGGTCTTTTTCTCCTCCCCTTCCACATAATCCCAGTGCTGGTGCCCCTTGTTACTGCAGTAAACCAGCGTGGGAGGTGGCTCAGCACCCCACAGAGCCAGAGCGTCCCGGAGAAAGCTCCTGAAGAATGTCTCCGTTCCCTGCTCTGGTGTCTCCCCACTTCCCATCTCTCTGGAGAGCCCAGGGTTGAGGGCGGGTGACTCACCGTGACAATGACCATCTCGGGCTACAAAGCTCAGATCCAGGTTTCCTGGAGTTTGGGGGTTGTTGGGCTCAGGGTCTGGGGATCAGGCCTATTTCTCACCGCTCTTCCTTTCCCCGGCAGGGAGGACGGGGCGTTTTGGAAGCCGGAGCCGGGGTTTGGGGAGCTGGAGAGGAGACTCAGTGATTTCTCTCTGAAAAGTGCCGTCCTGCAGGAGGGGCTGCTGGGATTCAAAGGTGAGTGGGAGTCTGGGGGTGGTGTATCCTCTGGTTAGAGCGACCCTGGCCCTGGGGAGGAGTCGGGGACTCTCGGGATGTCACTGACCCCAGGGTCCATCTCACAGCCCCAGCTCCGCGAGTCGCCCTTCCCCATGGGAGTCGCCCTGTGGGGCTGGCTCTCTCCCCAGTGGCTGCATTATCAGCCTCAGATCTCTGTCACCATCTCATAGTTAACAGCAGTTACATTAATAACGAATGGGAACCTCCCCAGGAAAGCGAGGGCCTGAATTCTCTCCTCTCTCTTCCTCTCCTTCCCCTAGAGATGCTGCGACTGGAGCTGGGAAGTGACACGGGTACGTGTCTGTCTCTGACAGGTCATGGGCAGATTTCAGACCAATCACCCTTTTATAGAATCAGAGAATCAGAGAATATTAGGGTTGGAAGGGCCCTCAGGAGGTCATCTAGTCCAACCCCCTGCTCAAAGCAGGACCGATCCCTGACTAAATCATCCCAGCCAGGGCTTTGTCAAGCCTGACCTTAAAAACTTCTAGGGAAGGAGATTCCACCACCTCCCTAGGTAACGCATTCCAGTGCTTCACCACCCTCAGAGTGAAAAAGTTTTTCCTAATATCCAACCTAAATCTCTCCCACTGCAACTTGAGACCATCACTCCTTATTCTGTCATCTGGTACCACTGAGAACAGTCTAGATCCACCCTCTTCGGAACCCCCTTTCAGGTAGTTGAAAGCAGCTATCAAATCCCCCCTCATTCTTCTCTTCCTAAACATCCCCAGTTCCGTCAGCCTCTCCTCATAACTCATGTGTTCCAGTCCCCTCATCGTTTTGTTTTGTTGCCCTCCGCTGGACTCTTTGCAATTTTTCCACATCCTTCTTGTAGTGTGGGGCCCAAAACTGGACACAGTACTCCAGATGAGGCCTCACCAATGTCGAATAGAGGGGAACGATCACGTCCCTCAATCTGCTGGCAATGCCCCTACTTATACATCCCCAAATGCCATTGGCCTTCTTGGCAACAAGGGCACACTGCTGACTCATATCCAACTTCTCGTCCACTGTCACCCCTAGGTCCTTTTCTGCAGAACTGCTGCCGAGCCATTCGGTCCCTAGTCTGTAGTGGTGCATGGGATTCTTCTTTCCTAAGTGCAGGACTCTGCACTTGTCCTTGTTGAACCTCCTCAGATTTCTTTTGGCCCAATGCTCCAATTTGTCTAGGTCCCTCTGTATCCTTTCCCTACCCTCCAGCGTATCTACCACTCCTCCCAGTTTAGTGTCCTCTGCAAACTTACTGAGGGTGCAATCCACACCATCCTCCAGATCATTTATGAAGATATGGAACAAAACCGGCCCCAGGACTGACCCCTTGGGCACTCCACTTGATACCGGCTGCCAACCAGACAGGGAGCCATTGATCACTACCCGTTGAGCCCGACAATCTAGCCAGCTTTCCATCCACCTTATAGTCCATTCATCCAGCCCATACTTCTTTAACTTGCTGGCAAGAATACTGTGGGAGACCGTGTCAAAAGCTTTGTTAAAGTCAAGGAAGAACACGTCCATTGCTTTCCCCTCATCCACAGAGCCAGTTATTTCGTCATAGAAGGCAATTAGATTAGTCAAGCATGACTTGCCCTTGATGAATCCATGCTGACTGTTCCTGATCACTTTCCTCTCCTCTAAGTGCTTCAAAATTGATTCCTTGAGGACCTGCTCCATGATTTTTCCAGGGACTGAGGTGAGGCTGACTGGCCTGTAGTTCCCAGGATCCTCCTTCTTCCCTTTTTTAAAGATGGGCACTACATTAGCCTTTTTCCAGTCGTCCGGGACCTCCCCCGATCGCCATGAGTTTTCAAAGATAATGGCCAATGGCTCTGCAATCATGTCCGCCAAGTCCTTTAGCACTCTCGGATGCAACGCATCCGGCCCCATGGACTTGTGCTCGTCCAGCTTTTCTAAATAGTCCCGAACTACTTCTTTCCCACAGAGGGCTGCTCACCTCCTCCCCATGCTGTGCTGCCCAGTGCAGTAGTCTGGGAGCTGACCTTGTTTGTGAAGACAGAGGCAAAAAAAGCATTGAGTACATTAGCTTTTTCCACATCCTCTGTCACTAGGTTGCCTCCTGCATTCAGTAAGGGGCCCACACTTTCCTTGACTTTCTTCTTGTTGCTAACATACCTGAAGAAACCCTTCTTGTTACTCTTAACATGTCTTGCTAGCTGCAACTCCAGGTGTGATTTGGCCTTCCTGATTTCACTCCGGCAAGCCCGAGCAATATTTTTATACTCATCCCTGGTCATTTGTCCAATCTTCCACTTCTTGTAAGCTTCTTTTTTGTATTTAAGAGCAGCAAGGATTTCACTGTTAAGCCAAGCCGGTCGCCTGCCATATTTACTATTCTTTCTACACATCGGGATGGTTTGTCCCTGTAACCTCAATAAGGATTCTTTAAAATACAGCCAGCTCTCCTGGACTCCTTTCCCCCTCATGTTGTTCTCCCAGGGGATCCTGCCCATCAGTTCCCTGAGGGAGTCACAGTCTGCTTTTCTGAAGTCGAGGGTCCTTATTCTGCTGCTCTCCTTTCTTCCTTGTGTCAGGATCCTGAACTCGACCATCTCATGGTCACTGCCTCCTAGGTTCCCATCCACTTTTGCTTCCCCTACTAATTCTTCCCGGTTTGTGAGCAGCAGGTCAAGAAGAGCTCTGCCCCTAGTCGGTTCCTCCAGCACTTGCACCAGGAAATTGTCCCCTACAGTTTCCAAAAGCTTCCTGGATTGTCTGTGCACTGCTGTATTGCTCTCCCAGCAGATATCGGGGTGATTGAAGTCTCCCATGAGAACCAGGGCCTGTGATCTAGTAACTTCCGTGAGTTGCCGGAAGAAAGCCTCGTCCATCTCATCCCCCTGGTCTGGTGGTCTATAGCAGACTCCCACCACGACATCACCCTTGTTGCTCACGCTTCTAAACTTAATCCAGAGACACTCAGGTTTTTCTGCAGTTTCATACCAGAGCTCTGAGCAGTCCTACTGCTCCCTTACATACAGTGCAACTCCCCCACCTTTTCTGCCCTGCCTGTCCTTCCTGAACAGTTTATATCCATCCATGACAGTACTCCAGTCATGTGAGTTATCCCACCAAGTCTCTGTTATTCCAATCACATCATAATTCCTTGACTTTGCCAGGACTTCCAGTTCTCCCTGCTTGTGTCCCAGGCTTTGTGCATTTGTATATAGGCACTTGAGGTAACCTGCTGATCGCCCCTCATTCTCAGTATGAGGCAGGAGCCCTCCCCTCTCACGCGCTCCTGCTCGTGCCTCCTCCCGGTATCCCACTTCCCCACTTACCTCAGGGCTTTGGTCTCCTTCCCCCAGTGAACCTAGTTTAAAGCCCTCCTCACTAGGTTAGCCAGCCTGCTTGCGAAGATGCTCTTCCCTCTCTTCGTTAGGTGGAGCCCGTCTCTGCCTAGCACTCCTCCTTCTTGGAGCACCATCCTATGGTCAAAGAATCCAAAGCCTTCTCTCCGACACCACCTGCGTAGCCATTCGCTTTTAGTGACGGGGGATAGCAGCCTCCAGCCCTTGGAAGCTGTGGAACAATGTGAAGCGATGTTACTTTGTTCTTGCACCACTGTATTTTCAGCGGACTTGTCTCTTAAATATTTTAGCTCATCAATGTCACTTAAGCATTTAAAGTTTTTGCAAGATTTTTTTGTCCTCTAATTTTTTGTTGCTTTTACTTTTTTTAAGTATTGCATTGTTTACTAATTAAATTAATTTTAGTCATTTCATTTTGGCATTTTTAATTGCGGTCATATTAAGTGTTTAGACATTAAGTTTACATAGTCTGATTTTAAAGTTTTTTTTTGTTTGTTTTTAAGACCGCTAAGATTTTGACAACTTTTCCTGGTTTTGAATGTCTGCTTGAGACTGTTTTTTTACAAAATACAAAGGCTGAGCTCTTTTTGAACATGTATTTGAAAGTTTCCTGGAATGATTTTATACATTTAAGATAGACTCTTAATTTTCCCCCCAATACATTCCTGTTCACCCCTGGGATAATTACTTTCTGGGGAACATCTTCAGCAGAGCTAGAATTATTGAAAGGCGATGCACCAGAGAGTAAAGGCACGGAGGCAGTGGCCTGCGGGGAACAGAGTAAGTTTCATTACTAATCCTGCTCTTTTGAGGGGTCCTTTTAGAAAATAATTTAACTTACAAGCATTTAAGAAAGTCACTACTCAGTGGAGCAATGGGTCTCTTTGGAATATATTTTAACTGACAAGCCCTTACAGCCTTTGTGAGAAAGGAACAGGATATAATAGAATTTAAAAAATGAAAATTAAGAATCGTGGATCATCAGTTTGCTGCTTCTGACTTGGGTTGAGGAACCTTGGAGGAGTTGTGATGAGAGACAAACTTGCAAAGTTAATAGATGATTTTCTTTCTTCCTTCTCCCCCGTTTTTAAATCCATGTCCCTAAGGCCAAATTTGGCATAGGTAACTTTGTTCCTACGTTTTCTTGTTCTCCAAGCATGTTCTTGGTACTGTCCTGGAACGATCTCATTAGCCCCCTTTTGTTTGGACTCATTTAATTTTCTGCATTTGGTCTTCTTGCACCTGTGCATCACATTCATGGCTGAAAATAATTTAACGTAATTTTCATCAACTTGTTGCTATTGTAAGATCTTCTGAACTTTCATATTCTTTTCACAGTGAAGTAAGGAAGAGAGTTCAAAACGTGGGTGTTATTGGAATTAACAGTTCCCAGGGTCGGTCCATATATGCCATAGCACTTGGCTCATTCATGCTTTGTCTGGGTACAATGTAGCCCTCTCTCTCCAGTCGTAGTCAATGACGATACAAAATAAAGATCTAGGCTTGTGTTTCTCGGCTGGTGGTTTGTGACCCCCGGGGGCTCAGGAAAGGCAGGCAGGAGGCTGTGAGATGTTGAGCATTTCATTATGATCCAAAGCAAAGAAAATCTCACTCCCCCACTCCTGCACTCCCTTGTTCATTATGGTCAAGTATTCTCTGTCAGCCTCTTGAAATATACAAGTTATACAGAGACTCGGCATGGATGCATGTTTTATTCTTACTTTTTTAGTAAATGTTCAGGGGTCAGAAAAAAATTGTTCATAGACTATCAGGGTGGGAAGGGACCTCTGGGCATCATCTAGTCCAACCCCCTGCTCAAAGCAGGACCAATCCCCAATTTTTGCCCCAGATCCCAAATGGCCCTCTCAAGGATTGAATTCACAACCCTGGGTTTAGCAGGCCAATGCTCAAACCACTGAGCTATCCCTCCCCCCAAACTTGCAGTAAGTGGTACTCGCTTACTTCTTTCAGCTGGGAAATTAGGCAGTTTTTGCAGCTGTGCACAGTAACCCTTTCATTGCCTGTATGACAGCCAGAGAGACTGAAACCCCTTGGGTGGTTAGTAGAGACGGGGAGGAGGCAGAAAGTTTGGATCCAAACTGGCATTCAGTGCTATCCGCAATTGCAGGAGATCCTTGGTCACTAAGTCTCCCGGGCAGAGGGAGGGGACAGGGGGAAAGACAAGACAGAAAATGAAGGAGAAATAAGTGGGAGGTGGGAAGGTCACAAGCTCCCAAACCTGCCCACATCCAGTCAAAGTCTAAGGCCAGAAGGGACCATTGGAACATCTGGTCTGACCTCCTGTCTAGCACTGGCCACCAACACCACCCAGCTCCCGCCCCCACTAAACACAACAGCTGGAGTGAGACCAAAGTCTTGCAGCCCACGGGAGACTAGACTGTTATATGCCCCAGGCAGAGAACAGGAGGGACTGAGATGCACCAGTGCCCCAGACCCCTGCAGTGGCAGGGAAATGGTTAAGTGAGATGTTTCCGGGTAATCCTAGTGTGTGACCCACACCCCACGCTGCAGAGGAAGCTGAAACCCCCCCCAGGTCACTGACAACCTGACTCGTCTTCTTCTCTGGCTGTTCCTGAATCTTCAGAGGAAGGAGATTAAAAAAAACCCTCTCAAAATACATTACGGGGGAAAGTGCCTTCCAGACCCCTGGCAGTGGTGGCTGAGACTCTGAAGCGTGAGCGTGAGGAATGTCATGCATAAAATAGAAGTGAGCCCCACTTAATGGTCCACTCTTTGTGTCTATTGACAATGCCTTCCAGCTGAATATCACCAGCAAAATTCCTTTCATTTCCTGCACCAGCACTGGGCAGACTTTGTCCTGTCCCTGCCTGGTCCCCACCATTGGGGGAGTTGCTCTCAGGGTTTTAAAACTAGGGCAGTGGATTTAGTGCTGGTGGGAGGGGTTGGGTCTGGGCTGTGATAAAGTGATGGAATGTTTTCCCAGCATGAGAGTCAGAAACATCTTGTGCAGGGAAAGGGCTGGGGCAAATCACGATGTGACAGGAACTAGAGGCCCTTCTGAAATCTTCCCTGTCCCCCTTCTCACCCTGACAGGTGGCAGAGTAATCCGCACCTTTGGCTCCAGATTGTCCCAGCCTCTCTCAGGACGGGGAAGGGAACTGGCTGTCGTGCAGCCAGTCCAGGTAGGGATTATTGCGGGGTTGCTAGTGGGTTCCTGCTGGAGGGAGAGGGGCAGGAAATGCCGAGGGCCTGGGATCTTTGGAGGAGTTTAGTCTGGAGGTGGGATGGGGGCAGGAAATACCCAGGGTGGAGAAAGGGAGGGGGACAAGGCATGTGACAAACTTGCTGGGAGTTGTTGACCCCACGTCCTGGATTCCGGGAACAGACGTAGGGGTTTGGGGGAGGAAATTACCCTATTTGTAGAATGGGGTTGGCGGGGGAACACTGGACAGTGCTGGGAAAATGGATCAGATTCCCAGTGGAAGAACATAAACCTACTCGCCAGAGGCTGCTATGAGATATGAAGCGGATGGCGGGGGGGGGAAGGGTTACTCACCAGTGGGGCGTAGAGTAGATAACCCTTCCCCTTCCTTTCAGCTGCTGGCAATGGGAAGCGTGTTGGGATTCCTATTGCGGAGCCAACCCTGGAGCCTACTGAGGGCCCCATCCCATGTATCAGCCTCTGGCTTGTAGGTGTGTGATGAATGAGAAGATGACCTTCCCCCTCTGTCTGCTGCGGGGGACTAGGGGATCTCTATCTCCCCTCCTGTTTTGCCTCCTGGCTGCTCTGAGCGGGGTGGGGGTGGGCACTGAGGGTTGGACTCTTCCTCTTTCAGGGGCCGGTGACCTTCGAGGAGGTGGCTGTGTATTTCACCAGGGAAGAGTGGGCTCTGCTGGACCCCCGTCAAAGAGCCCTCTGCAGAGACGTCATGCAGGAGAACTACGAGAATGTGACCTCGCTGGGTAAGGATTCCTGTGCCCTTGGTTATTAGAAGGGGAAATGCCGAGTTAAGGTTCACACCACCCCCACAACGCCACCTCTACTCTGCCCTATCTCAGCAACAGCCCATTAAGTGCATTGAAATGGGGCAGACTGGGTCCCTCAGGGTTCACATGCGCCTCCCTTCATATCATGGTCACAGCTCTGCCAAGCTACTCCAACTACTCCCTCCACCATCCAGTTACGCCTACAGCTGACCCAGTGCACACAGCTGGGGGGCATGCGGATAAATGCTGGGATTCCCTCCTGTGAACACAACACAAACAAGGGCATGTTCTTAGTCCTTCATATCTATTGTAGAATCATAGATTTTTATGGTCAGAAAGGGCTATTAGGACATCTAGTCTGACGACCTATATAACACAGGTCATAAAATTTCCTCAAGTTACTGCTGTACTGAACTGAATATGCTGTGTTGGACTAAATCCTCCCCCAGAAAGGCATCCACTCTGACTTGAAGACTTCAAGAAATGAAGAAGCCTCCACTTCCTTTGTTAGTTTGTTAACCTTTGCACCAGCCATACTGAGCCACTCCCAGTGGCTAGCGCCAGCTGCAGGGCTAGGGGCAGAGTTAAGGTTACATTTTAGGGTTGGTGTGTATATTAACTCTTCCTTTTCTGGTTTTCAGAGGTTTAAGTTTAGCCACCACACACCTAGTGGAAAGGCATGCAGCAGAACTGGGCAACCTGTGCTCCATATTTATATAGTTTGGGGGCTTTTGATGTCCTCATTTTTTTAATAGACTTTTTCGGCGCTCTGTTTCTGCATGAGAGATTTTGCCGGCATAATTCTATCAATTAAGGATGTGTTTTTTTTGCATCCCTAACAAACAGAGCTATGCTGACAAAACTTTGCAGCTCAGAAGAGGCCAGAGTCTGCAAGTGGATTTTAAAACACTTTAAAATATTGCTCTCAGCCCTGAAATTTTGGAATCCAGGGGGAAATGTCGAAGAGGAACTCCTGCAGAATGCAAGCAAAATGCACAATACACATAGTCTGAGAATTAACAGTGGTACGGCTCTGACTCAGATGAATTGGTGTAGCTCAGAGGCAGTGGCCACAGCATGTCCTCTTCACCCCACCAACCAATGACTGAGAGCAGTGTGAGGTTACTATTCAGGAGTTCTTGTGGAGGAGGGGAGAGGAGAGCAGGGAGCAGTGGGAAGAGAGAAGATGATGGGGGAACTAGTGCTTGTTTGGTGCCAGAAGCTAGGGAAGGCTGAGTGTAGTGGGAGGAAGGGGATAGGTATGTGGAAGATTAGACTAGAGGGAATCAGGGAGGGATGAAGAGGAGGTGAGGAATCAGAGGCAGAATCTCCTGGGAACAGGTAGTGTGGTGGGTCGGGGGAGTGGGAGACTGGGAATGGAGAAAAGGGGGTGGAGGTCCCAGCGGTGGTGCTGTTGGAGGGGGAGGATTGGGTAGGAGATCTGGGATACGTGGAAGTGGAGAAGAGTGAGGATAGTGGGAAGGGTATGGGGAGTGGTTGCTCCAAGGAGCAGGAAGGATCTGGTGGCAGTGGGAAGGGAAGGTTTCAGGGAGGCAGATATTTGGGGCCCTCCGCTGAGAATGCTTTTGCCAAAGTCTCTAATGCCCTCTCCCTAAGCAAAGCTCAGAATCAGCACTCCATCCTTATTCTTCTTGACCCGTCAGCCGCCTTTAATTCCACTGACCATGGTCGTCTTCTTGACATCTTGTCTTTTTCCTGGCTCTTCTCCTACCTCTGTAACCACTCTTTAGCGTGTATTTAAGAAGATCCTCCTCACCCCCCCCACACACTCTGGTTTTCTGTGGGGGTTCTACAGGGCTCAGTCCTTGGTCACTTCCTCTTCCTCTGCACTTTATCTCTGGGAAATCTCACCCATAAACACAAATTCAGCTTCTGTCCCTATGCTGATCAATCACAGATCTACCGCTCTACTCCAGCCCTGTCTCCTTCTGTCCAAACTGAAATCTCAGCCTCCCTCTGATGACTCCTTGTGGATAGCTAGCCATCAACTCAAGCTCAACATCTCAAATGTCTAGAACAGAGCTCTTAATCCCCCAAGCTAGCCCTCCCGCCATCTCCTTTCTTGCTGTTCACCCCAGAATTAGCTGATGAAATCTCAGAGCATCTGGCAAAATTTGCAAACTCAGATGACAAGATAGGTTCCAGAAGATTGGAGAAGGGTTAACATAGTGCCCATCTTTACAAAGGGGGAAAAGGCGAAGCTGGGGAACTATAGACTACTCAGCCTGACCTCAATACCAGGGAAGCTACTAGAGCAATGAATAAAATATTCAGTTTGTGAATACCTGGAGGACGAAGGGCAATCGAGAGCAGCCAGCATGGATTTACTAAGAACATAGTGTGACAAACCAGCTTGATCATCTTCTTTGATAGGGTAACTGGTTTGGTGGCTAAAATAGACCTGGACTTCAAAAAGGCTTTTGACACAATCCCATGAGTAAGCCGGAGAAATGCGGGTTTAACGGAACTACCATTAAATGACTATATAATTGGTTACACAACCACAAACAAAGAGTAACTATGAATGGAATGATGTCAGACTGGAGGGATTTCTCAAGTGGGGTGTCACAGGGATCTGTTTTGGGTCCACTGTTATTTAACATCTTCATTAATGACCTGGATGTAGGAGTAGAGAGCATACTGATCAAATTTGCAGATGACACAAAGCTAGGGGGGGGTTATCAACACTTTGGAGGATAGAGCATCTTGATAAATTTGCAAACTGGGCTATAGACCACAAAATGAAATTCAACAAAGACAAGGGTAAGGTGCTACTCTTAGGGAAGTAAAACCCAATGCACAAATACAGGTTGGGGGTTAACTGGCATGACAGCAGCACTGCTGAGAAGGATCTGAGAGTTGTGGTGGATCACAACCTCAACACAAAGTCAACAGTGTGATGATAATGCAAAAAAAAAAAAAAAAAAAAGCAAATGCATTAACAGAAGCATAGCATGCAAATCACAGATGGTGATGGTAATGCTCTACTCAGCACTGATTTGGCCTCAGGGGGACTCCTGTGTCCAGTTTTGGTCACGAGTGACTAGATAGGATGTAGAGAAACTGGAAAGACTCCAGAGGCAAGTGACAAAGATGATCAAAGGGATGGAACACAAGCCAGTGAGCAAAGGCTGATGTAACTGGGTGTGTTTAGTTTGGAAAAAAAGAGTTGAAGGGGTTGGGGGGGTGATAGTAGTTTTCAAATACTCAAAAGGCTGTGTAAGCGTGTGTGGCCATGCCTCCCGGTCTATCCCTGAGGGAGGCCATGCCACCTCACGGTCATGCTCTTAGCACTGCAATCAATTAAGGGGGATTATCAGTCTTCAAAGCTCAGACCACTTGATCCAGGCTGAGCAATAGTGAGTCTGTGGTGCCCGGCCCTCAGGCAGGACTGGGCACCAACAGTCCATGCTCTGGCCTGCAATCAGGGCAGAGCTGCAAAGTCTCCAAGCCCAGGCCCTTAGTCAGGGTGGGACAGCAAACAATTAGGGGCTTTGCCCAAGGCGAGCAGCAAACAGGCTAGGGCTCAGGTAAGGGCAAGCACCAAACAGCCTGGCATCCTAGCTCGGTGGATGGTAGATCAACACAGGCCTCCTGGCTGAAGATGGGGAGGCTACCACCCAACTGGCTGGGTGGCAGGAGGTAGGGAGACCCTGGCCCACCTGACTCCACGGGGTCCTAGCCCAGGGACCTAACAGTGGCAGTGTAGTCTGCCACTGGATCAGCGGGGATCCACCCGCAACACACTGACTTAGTGTGAGGCCAACACTCAATCAGACGATGGTCTAGTTTCCCTGGGCTACTTCCTACAGTCCCCAGGGTTTTGGTACCTCTGGCCTGCATTTCCCTGGGATCAGTGGTCTTTGGCAACCCCATCAGCTTGTCGGCACCTCAAGTGGCCGGTGACCCTGGTTGGTCTGGCCATTCCTCTGGCAGCAGTCCAAGCAGCTCCTCGGTGTCCCACTCTGGCAGTGGGTGATAAGCGTCTGTCTTCCACAGCAGCTCCAGCCCAACTGAGCTACAAGTCCCCCCTTTTGTAGTTCCGCTTCCTGTCCCGCCCCTCAGCTTCCGGAGGGGTGGACGTGGCTTTCCTGGCTCTGTAGCCCAAGGGGCAGGTTGTGGTCCCTGCTGGTCTTCCTTGCTATGGGCTGCTATACAAAGAATGGAGAACAGTTCATCTCTCTTGCCACAGAGGGCAGGACAAGAGGCAGTGGGTTCAAACCACAGGACAGCAGATTTAGATTAGATTTCAGGAAAAACTTCCTAACTGGAAGAACAGTAGGAACAGACGCCTAGGGAGGTGGTAGAAGGTTATTCACTGGAGGTTTCCAAAAGGAGGCTGGAGCCATCTGGTGGTTTAGACTCAGCAAATCCTGCACCTTGGCAGGGGGTTAGACTAGATGACTAACTTTGTGGTTCCTTTTAACTCTGTGGTTCTAAGGGAAACAGGGGTTAGCCCTTTGAAAAAGCTAAAGCTAGCATGTCGCCCATTAAGGGTACGTCTGCACTGCATCTGGAAGCTGCCTCCCAGCCAGAGTCCATGCTGACTCCCTACAAATAAGGGTGGAGGCCCTAACATCAAAGCAATGTCTCCACACCCATTTTTGAATGCACTAGTGTGAGACCCAGCCTGGAAGGCAGCTGACTTCCTGATGCACTGTAGACATATCCTAAAGAGGGCGGTCCCAAGGGAGACTGTATGAAGGTTGGGTCATCTAACTTCCTGTAAATCCATGACGCAGCTCCCTCCCTTGGCACCCTGTCACCGTGCCTTAGTGGGTCAGAACTGAGGATGCCAAATTCAGGACAAACTGCTGAGAAATAGGGCAAACACAAAACAAAACTGGTGGTTATTCTTTTATAAAATAGACCAAACCAGCCACAAAAGTAAACTCCTGTTTCACCACACTGGCTAACAAGAAAACATAAAGGCAGTTTTCGCAGGCATTCCAGTT